TTTATAATCATAAACCCACATTAATACAAATAACCTCTAAAAGGTTATTTTCCGGAGAACCGGTTGTTTTGGCCTCTAAGTCCGTTCTTGGACGTAGAACCACTTTCCAACCCACATTATTCCACACTCATATCATGTAGAACAATCCTAAGGGTTCTTCATATTATATCTCATATGATAGAAGAAAAATAAAGGAAAAGTTATGATAAGGTTATTACCTTAATTTTCACACCTTTTCCTAGCTTTTTCCTTCTATAATCTTCTTCCTTGGACCACCTTTGCTTGAGCTCGAGTTGCAGCAATGGAGAATGTCTTGAGAGCTTCCTTTTCCTCCACTTTTGATAGCTTGGCCGAAAATAATGGAGAGGGTGAGTGAGGAGATAGCCTCTTTAGCTTTTCTCTCAAAATAATGTGGGGATGGGTCCTCCCTATTGTACCTTTGATGCCAAATGCATATCCTCCCCATTTCCTTTTGTCAATCCAGCCCACATTTGACCCCCATTTGATTTGTTCAGCACATAAAAACGTGGGGTGGGCCCCACTCATGTGGGAGGTCACCCCAACTTGTCCCGAATTGTACATTAATTCGGCCCCGAAAGTTGTATTTTTCGAACTGTTTTAAACATATTATTTATTTTATCGGGTCAAATAAAATATATCAAGTGTTCTCAATCAATATGGCATGTAGTATGAATATACATTATATTCCCCAACTTTAATTTTGAAGTCTCCGAAATTCATTTTCAGACTGTTATCTGATAAATTACCAATTCCGATAATTTTACTATGTTTGACCAACCGGTCAACGTTAGGCCTTCCTATGGTCCAAATAACATATCCACCACCATATAAATATTATCTAGACCAAGATGAATAAAATAGATGGTCTCGGGAATATCGGGCGGCCCCCGTTCCCCGGTGTGGGCTCCACGTGCAATTTACTATTCACGCGAAAGAATTAATAAAAATTCACAATTTCGTAAATTCATTACCATTCCATAAGGTTCAATACATTATTCACTTAAAAGTAAGTATATTTGGGGTCGTTGTTACATCTTCCACCCTCCTTTAGTAGATAGGCAAATTTGCTTTTGCAAACCTCGATACGAGCTTGGAAACAAATCTTTCGGTGTCTGCTCCATCTTTCTAATACAGCGTTGCAACCCTTTAGTCTCTCCCACATAACAAGCTTTTTTGAACCAAACCAGTGTTCTGGACAACTTCTATGCAATCATCTTCTTGTAACTAAGAATTTTAAAACCCAAAAGATCTCTTTCTCATAATTCTGCCATCCCTTTCGATCCGAATATATAGCTTCAGATGATCAGTTGAAGGTCCTTCTAAAGATGATGCTTTAATTCCACTGAACCTTGAAAGTCATTCCTTGTTTGCCAAGTTTTGTCTAGCTTTTCTTCAATCCATCATGACCTGCCTCTTCCCCGTTCCCACGACCACTGGTATCCCTCAATAGGGACATTGCGAAGGTCACTACTCCGAATTGAGTCCCAACTCCCCCCCCAACAGCCACTGTGAATGTGGTAAACGGCATCTTCTTTCACTTTCAAACAATATGGCATTAGAATCACCATTAAGATCCATGGTTTATTTGAAGCTCTTGAAAGACTCTTAATCAATTCCCACAAATCTCGCCTTCTGCTATGCTGGGAAACCATAGTAGCTAGCCTATGAAACGCCATTGTGTGTCATCTGCATCTATCATTAACTGCAAGCAGTCCATGAAGTTGGTGGAGGAATTTGCCACTTCCAATTCAACTCCCTCACGCCACATGATACACAAACCTCCACTTCGGCATGAGATTTCCATAGTAACACTTCTTTGAAATCCAAACTGCAATTACAATTCATCGCACCTAACACGATGCGCTTTTGTCTCCATTAGAAATATGATACTCGACAGCTTTGACTAGACAATGTCAATCAAGATTTGCACCGTCGTAAAATTGTACAAACCCCGACAATTCCAGCTTACAATGCCCGTGAAACGTTCCACCGCTCTGGTTATCCAATACTCGTGAACCTTTACATCGACAAAATTTGCCGCCGTTCAACCAAAACTGCCAGCAAAATGTACCAGTTTGTTGTTATTGATTATAACATTTTGAATGTTAAAAACGAGAAGAATTTATTATATTCTTTAAATATAATTTTTTAATGGATTCCTAATAAAAATAGAGTCAAAGTAGAGCACATGAATAATGTAAAATTTTCAATATTGCATCTTTTTAAATACGAAAGTAGTATAGAGTTTACAGCTTCCATAACATGGCTTGCATATTTGATACACACAATTGTTATTTTGCATAACATAGCTTACATATTCGATACACATAATTCTTATTTTTTTCCTAACCCGGAAGGCAACCACCGCATCCAGTGGGACAAATGTCGGGGAACGTTTGCCGTTATTTTATTAAGATAAAATTGAGTACAAAAGAGAGGGGGATCAAACCAAAACCATCCTATTTAAAGTATGACAATAAATAAATACTTTTTTGGGGGGGTGGGGTGGGGGGGCTAGACCTGACCCAAAAATAAAACAATTAAAATAGATATCTAAAGGAAGGAAGCCCAAATATATCCAAATTACAAGCTCTTTTAACCGGTAGAGGGAGATCACTAACCCGAGTAAACTCTTGCAATTGGGTCGGCTTGTCAGATGTTAGCAAATGGGTGACCCAGTTCCCCTCACGCAATGTATGGACCAATGAAATGCGATAATTGTCTGAACGAAGCTTGCTCTCCCATAACATTACTTACATATTTGGCACACGTCATTTATATTTGTATAACATAAGTTACATACTTGACATACAAATTGTTGAGGTTAAGTCCCGAAGGTCCAAAGGTCTAACACAACACCTTGGGTTGCGCTTTTGTAAGATTCCTTTTTATGGTTGATTTAGAAAATGTTTAAGGCAAGAATGAGACACAAATAATAACAAGTAAGTCAGATGTTAAGTGGGTCCAGTTCTATTAAATGTCGAGAATGATTGCAATAACTCTGTGGAGCCCGATCACTCTCTAATCCCCTAGATCAAGGTGAAGAGTACAAAAGAAATAGAGAGAACTATGTTGCTAAATATACATGTTTGACAATCCTTTATAGAAAAACAATTTTAACCATATATATTTTGATTATTATGTAGTACAATTCAACCAATATTGTAACTTCAACCAATTAAGCTGAAAGTGAGTTAACTAAATGGGCTATAACTTAAATTTCCCTTGTTATACTCTTGGAAACCCATCTAGTAGCTAATCATATTAATAATTTAATATATTTATTACATAAACTAATGATGAAGGTAGTACATTAATAACATGAAATTAATATATTTTCAATGAAGCAAGAAACATTACGAGCCCGTTTGGTAGCACGAAAAATAGGTTGATTTAGCCGATTCTGCTGAAATTTATAAAGATCCAGCTGAAGTAACTGCATGGGCTTATTCTATAGATTTAAGAAAAAATTATTTTTAAAATATACTCCCTCCGTTTCAAAATAAACCTCACAGTTTGACTTTTGTGGTCTCCTAGGCGGACGTTTGACCGTAATTTTCTATTAATATATGCATATAAAATCTATAATAAATTGACATTTGAAAAATACATATTACAATGAAGCACATTATATAATTTTTTTGGGATAAAATATTATTAATTTTGAGTAACAAGCGGTCAAAGTTTAACAAGTTTGACCCAAAAAGTTTGACGGTGAGGTTTATTTTGAAACGGAGGGAGTATTTTATTAATAAAATAAAATAATGAAATAGTTATATGTAAAAAAAACTAAAATGACCATCTACAATAACTTCATCTAATACAACTTGAAAAATAACTCTAACCTAACATTTTCTGCTTATTATACAATTAGGCGCGCGAAAGTAAAAACAATTTAATTTCTAAATGAAATGGTTGAGAGGCTAGTGCGCCCAAAGAACTATCGTATCCGGCGTTGAGCTATCCGTTCACCAAACACTTCTATAATACTGTTGATGTTATTATTTACTTCGTACTATAGGACAACAAGCGATGGCATTGAGATTCTTTCCAAAGAATAACAAAAAAACAAAAAGTTGATGGAAAATATATAGTGCTTCGAAAGAAAAAGCATATACATATGGAGAAAAAGGTCAAGATTCCGGGAAAGAAAAACATAACCCTTCGGACAATTCCTCGTAAAACACGTGGTAAAATGCCCCGTCGTTTGTCATTTTCCGACGGTTTCGTCCCTCTCCCTCCATTTCGTTTTAAAAAAAATGGTGAGTAAATATAGAGAAAATACTAATCATAATCCACTGACCCTGTTAATCATTAACAAATAGGGAAAAATAATTAAAATACCCCAAACTTTGAAGGGATGTGAGGTAAGCACCCTAAACTTGCATATGTAATTTAAATACCCTAAACTTTATATAAAAAGTTATTTTAGCACCATGGTCATGCATTATTTCTTTAAAAAATGTTAATTTTTGGTGTTAATTTCATAATTTGAAATATTTTAGCATTCATGAAGATTCAATTAATATTCTAAACTTCCATTGAAAAATAGATAACACCACCTCCACTTTATATAATTGGACCGTTTTTAATTTTTTATTCTAAATTATGCAATTAACAACATAAATTTACATTTTTGAAAATAATAATAAATGACCATGGTGTTAAAATAACTTTTTATATAAAGTTTAGGGTATTTAAATTACATATAAAAGTTTGGGGTGTTTATCTCACACCCCTTTAAAGTTTGGGGTATTTTAATTATTTTTCCCTTAACAAATACGAGCATTATTGGCACTAAATACACTCTAGAGTCTAAACTGTGCACAGAAAAATATACGTCAAATCCATTTCCCATTGTTTTCACTTTTCAGATTATTGAAAATGAAAGTTTTAATTTTTCTCGTACTCTGTTCAAGTTGGGTAAATTTATTATGCTTCTGTAAACAAGCAACTGTTGCTTCCTTTTTCACAGTGCAGTTGTACGAATGATTCCGTGTGGACGTAAGCTTTTTCTGCTGTTTTTTGAGAGAGAAAATATGTTCTGATCCCACAACCTGCAAAAGGGTATCAGCTATAACACGCAGGATTTAAGAACAGTTCCTAGTCCGGGAATCAAGAGAAGGAGGGAGAGAAAGGGAAACAAAAAAACAAAAAACAAAAGAACTCATCCGAGGAGAGGAAACAGAGAAATAAAGGGCAAAGATGGGTCTTTTTTCTTTACCCCCAATACCCTTCTCTCTGCGTATCTATATGATGATGACAGCTTTTGTTGAAAGGTCGGTTTCTTTTAAATTTTATGACGAAAAGCAAAGAGAAATAGTGGTAGTAGTAGGGAGCAATTGATGAAAACTGAAAAGTCCGACCACTCATGCTTCGGTCCGCGTGCTTTTGATGCAAGGATGACCCGACCCATTTCCCTTTTTCAATGCCCTTTTCCTGTTTTCACCAGTTTGTTGATAGATTCTCATTAGAGAGCAGAGAAGCCCCACTTAGGTTATTTTCTCTTTCTCTTTGCAGACCCCTTTTTGCAGGGGCGTGTTTGTTTGTTTGTTCCTTGGTCTTGGATCTTTTGAACGCATGCTCTTCATGTCCAATCAGATCCTCTGAGGTGTTCTTTCCCTCATTTTTCTCTCCTTTCATCCAAAAAATAATAATGCAAAACTCAGCAGACAATGGACGGTCTTGGGAAGGAAAAGTTGTGACCTTTTTAATGGGGGGCTTAGGAGGCTGAGGGATTGAAGTAAAAAGAGTGGGAATAGGGAAAAGGAAGAGTCTTTAGTCTAAAAAATGGGTTCTCTTGGAGGGCAGTCAACACTTGTTGAAGAAATGAAACTGTTGAAAGAAATGCAGGATCACAGTGGGTTGAAGAAGAAGAAACGCATAATAAATTCAGAGCTATGGCATGCATGTGCTGGGCCTTTGGCCGCTTTGCCTCAGGTTGGGAGCCTTGTCTACTACTTCCCACAAGGACACAGTGAGCAGGTTAGAAACATCTTTTGATGATCTTGAAGTGATGGTGATTTTGTTAATCACATGGTTAAGTAGTATTATGTGCAGCTAATTAATTGATTGAGGCCTTATTGGAACAGGTTGCAGTTTCCACTAATAGAGCAGCAACATCACAAATTCCTAATTACCCGAATCTTCCATCTCAGCTGTTGTGTCAAGTTCACAATGTTACACTGCATGTAAACTCCTACTATACTTTCATAAGCATTTCGTTTCTTTCTGTTTATGCAAATATTGTTCTTTTAAACAAAATGTAAGGTGGTGTCAACAAAAAAACAATGTTAAGGTTGTCTGTGTTTATTCCATATGATAAAAGTTTTTTTCTCCGTTTTTTCATTTTTAGGCTGATAAAGAAACAGACGAGATCTATGCCCAGATGAGCCTTCAACCTGTGAACTCTGTAAGCTTCGCTAAATAATTAATAGAGTACTATTATTTACTCACTCCATCCCCCCAAAAAGTGTTTACTTTTGGTATGGCCTTCAAAACATTTTTGTTGCTTTAACTAAATACTTGTATATCCTTTATGACTTATGTCCCTTGTTTGTGAGTCTGTTTTGCAGAAAGTTACAGAAAACAACTTCTTAGGGTCAAACACAATTTTTTTTTTTTTTTGGTTTTTTAGGGGTTGGAAAGAGGAACCCTCTTTTGGGATGGACACCATATAAGTTTTGCTATTTGACAAGTTATGAAGAGTAAAAATAAATAAAACTCTGCTGCTTAATTTATCAGGAAAAAGATGTGTTCCCAATTCCGGATTTTTGTTTGAAACCAAGCAAGCATCCGGCAGAGTTCTTCTGCAAGACATTGACTGCTAGTGACACAAGTACACATGGTGGCTTCTCCGTTCCAAGACGAGCAGCTGAGAAATTATTTCCTTTATTGGTAAGCTGCTGGGTCCCATCTCTCGCCGAACCTGTGGAACTTTGTTCTACTTTCTATGGATCTTTTAGTTAACGTTCACTTCTCTATTGTAGGATTACTCAATGCAACCTCCAACTCAGGAGCTTGTTGTTCGAGACTTGCATGATAATACCTGGACTTTTCGTCACATATACCGTGGTATACATGCTGTGTAGTTATATATCTTTTCTTTTTCATGGATACCATTCTTAGTGTTTCAAGGATTTATTATAGGTGTTAATTTTGCCTGTTTTGATGTATAGGGCAGCCTAAAAGGCACCTTCTTACAACAGGTTGGAGCATGTTTGTCGGCGCAAAGCGGCTTAGGGCTGGTGATTCTGTTCTGTTTATCAGGTAATGAACGGACCGAGTTCTTGAATATTTTTCATTTTTTCTCCTCCACATTTGAAACTAGGGAAAGTTGGTTCTGGGATGTTATACATTATATTAAGACCCAATCACCGTTATATTGCTCTCAGAGGAATGTGTGTGTTTGATGTACGAGTGCAGGGACGAAAGGTCTCAACTGTTAGTTGGGGTGAGGCGTGCAAATCGTCAGCAAACGACATTGCCCTCATCAGTTCTGTCTGCTGATAGTATGCACATTGGTGTTCTTGCTGCTGCTGCCCATGCTGCTTCCAACAGAACTCCTTTCACAATCTTTTACAATCCTAGGTTTGCTCTACAACCCTCTTATGTCTCTTACGGCTTGTTTGGTTTAAGGATTTTAGTGGTGTGGGAAGAGAGGATATGATATAACTAGAATCTTATACTATAAATAGCTATACGTTTAGTTTCTATTTTGATGTACCTAAAAAAGCTCTATGTTAAGTTAAACAATGTTTTCTGTATATTTTTTCAATCTTACTTTCCTTCTGAATCATCTAAATGTTAGAATAAATTAAAACATGAATATCACACCTTCTCTCCCTCCACTCTGAAACTTCTGAACCAAACATGCCCTAAAAGTAAAGACATTCTCAGAGCCTGCCCTTCAAAAATTATACTTCGTATGAAATTGGCCAATCTTTCATATGTTAGATGAATCACTCTACTAAGTTTTTACCCACCTTTTGTCATTCATCTTGATATATGCAGAGCCTGCCCTTCAAATTTTGTTATACCGTTGGCCAATTACCGGAAATCCTTGTATGGAGCACACTTATCCCCTGGTATGAGGTTCGGTATGATGTTTGAAACGGAGGAATCTGGAAAACGCAGGTTTGTAGCTCTCATATTGCATCAATTCTTTGTTGATTCATTGTCTTTTGCTTTCATCTTTTATGCAAGTTTGGTACAATGCTGTGGGTATACCCTTTGTAGGTATATGGGCACAATTATAGGTTTAAGTGACATAGACCCATTGAGATGGCCCGGCTCCAAATGGCGCTGCCTTCAGGTGATTGATGAACTGATATTAATCGTATTATGATAGTTTAAAGAAAATATGAGAAATACATGGCTAAAGTAAAAAAATGGAAAACATGACTTTTTAACATGTGGGACCCAAGTCGAATTTTCGCGATGACTGTAGTGAACTCACTATTATTTAATTTTAGATTGTAATGACCACAATGGTATTTCACAGTTGACTATCATAAACACGCAGTCATGTTTTTGTTAACTAGTTCTCACTTGGTTATATCATTATAACAAAACTTCCACACTTAATTATTATAAGAATTACCAGAAATTTACACCCATGGCTGTGAAAAAACAGGTGGAGTGGGACGAGCAGGGATCAGGTGATAAACAGAATAGAGTCAGTCCTTGGGAAGTAGAGACACCCGAAAGTCTCTTCATTTTCCCATCCCTCACTTCTGGTCTCAAACGATCTTTTCAGTCTTCTTTTCTTGGTAAGTTTGGTTCTTAGCTCTTTCCTTGGAAAGTCCTTTTTATTCAGTGTTTAGTTGTTTGGTTAAAAAAACTATAATAAAATCCTCAAATTAACACATTATTATGATTTGAATCAGGAACGCAAACCGAATGGAACAGTTTGGTCAACCGACCATTTATCCGAGGTCCTGAAACCATATGTGGGGATATTCAGTTCCCTTCGATCTCAAATACATGGTCTGATCAAGTAATGAAAATGCTATTAAGGCCCCAAGAAACAATGGCTCAAGAAGAGACTACTCTTATCAAGTCAACCATGAAGCATAAACCCGAGGAAGCAATTACTATGGAAGAGACTTCATCTATTCAGAGCGAAAGTAACAACAGTATAGTCAATGAACCCATAGTTCCTTTGCAGCAAAATGACATGGCAAAACCAGAAACTACTATAGTGACCCCATCAGACCAGCTTAGTCATTTTCAGTCTTTTGGTCACTGCGATGAAGAAAAACTACCACCCTTTACTCCCACTAATGCTGCAAATGATCAAGGAGGAAGCCCATGGGCCCTACCACCACAATTTGACGACCCGGAGTGCTTTCTACAATGCCCTGGGGATACCAGGGAATGGAATTCATATCTCCCTCCCACGGGTCAAGAATTGTGGGATAGTCAGTTGAATGATTATAGTTGTCTTAATTTTGACGGTAGTAACAATGGAAGTGCTGTGATTGACCATTCCGTTTCGAGCGTGGTTCTGAATGAATTCTGCAACTTGAGAAATGGCGGACTACAAAATCCAGCAGAACTATTAGTGGGAAACTTCACTTCAAGTCAGGATGTACAATCCCAGATTACTTCATTACAAGATTTTGCTGACAACTCGGGTGGCGCATCCTCCAGCAATGCGGAGTTTGATGAGAGTGGTCTTTTGCAAAACAGATCATGGCATCAGTTGGGACCCCCACCACCACGTGTACGCACATACACAAAGGTATATATCTATATAATTTGGATCAAATGAGAAGAGTGCTTACAGTAACAAATGAGAATACATTTAGTGCATTGAATTTGAGATCCAATGACACTAAAAGTGTCAATAATGCTAAAGTGATGAGTTGTGTGGGGTCATTTTAATAATCAACTGAATTTTATCTATTATCTAGCAAAAAGAAAATCTTGTAAAAGTGCATTGGTTAAACATAATAGTGTATGAAAAGAAATAAAATGAAAAATTTGCATTTCTAACGTTAAAACTCTATTTTTGGAATAACTATATATGTATGAAGTTGCTAATCATATATTCGACATTAACATCCCCCTCAGTTCAAAACTGACGAACAACTTGAAGGGTTGCTAATAAGTCAAACCAATCGCAAACAGGTTACCCATATATATAAGGGTCTAACAAAACAAATGAAAATCCCAATGAGATGAGGCTGTAATACCTCAGTAAATTGGGCTTTAATCACCCCAAAAATGAGTTTTACTTCACACTTTTCTATTGGATATATTTCTAGTAAATGCTCAACGTGTGACACTCATTGTGTTAATAATAGCTATCTTTGTTGTTTTCCATTGTTGACAGATTCAAAAGGCGGGATCTGTAGGAAGATCAATTGACGTGTCCAGTTTTAGTAATTATTATGAACTGCGTTTGGAAATCGAAAGGATGTTTGGACTTGAGGGGCTGCTAAATGAGTCGAAAGGCTCTGACTGGAAATTGGTCTACGTGGATTTTGAGAATGATGTTCTTCTCGTTGGTGATGACCCCTGGGAGTAAGTTGTTCTTACAGCTAATGACATTCTTGTTTTGGCTATGTTTGATTATGTGAAAATAACTTATGGTTTATGATTTTTTCATGGCAGAGAATTTGTGGGCTGTGTGCGGTGCATAAGAATACTTTCGCCATCTGAAGTTCAGCAGATGGGGGAGGAAGGAATGCAGCTTCTCAACGCCAATGCTATGCAACAAGCCGGTCGTGTCTCTTCACTCTGATCCATTTGTTGCCTATCAAGGGAAATGAAAGATCAGTTCTTTCCTTTTTTTCACCTGACTTAGCTGAACCATTGTTGTACCATTTAGCTGTCAAATCTGTATTCTAGCAATTGTCAAATATTTGTAAGAATTGCTCTTTTGATCCAAGTATTTACATTTGGGTAGTTGTTTGGTAGATCCTGTTTTGAAGTATTTCAACTTATCAACATTATGCTCGTTAAATTTGTTAATAAATAATAATGAAAATATATGGATAAAGACATTTACCCATTTTGGCTTCAATTATCATTTCAACTTTATACTTTTTTCTATCTATCGGAATTCCATCAACTTCAACCAAACTCACCACCCAAACAACATTAATTGTGTTTTATTACTTCGTATTTCATTGAATGCCTGAAACATTACAAGTTTAGTTCTATATACGAAGTATAATGGTTCTTTCCGGGACGTGTAAATGTATTCGGATCCACCTTGACCCATGCAGCAATCAGTGGGTCTGTCAGACCCAATAGGCTAAACCCATCACAATGGATCTCCATAAATTCTCTAAAATATGAAGAAAAAATGGAATTGTTGCATTGTTCTAAACTCTGACCGGTTTTTGAAGCACAGCAGACAGATAAACCTCGGACTTCCCAGAACCGTTGATCTTCTCACCCACAACCCACTTCAACTTCTTGTACCCGAACCTTTCAACCAAACGGGTCAACCCATTCTTTTTCTCTTCACTAGAGCAGAAGAAATTATCAACCCAAAGTAATCCGCCGGCCCTCAGAATCCGATCAACGTCAAACATCAAGAACTCCAATTTCTCCGGTCGGCCGCCGACGTCCAATCCATTGCCGGCCCGGATCAGATCAAACACGTTATCCTGGAACGGGAACCGTTGATCCAGGCTAGAGTAAAGGGGGAAAAGTCCTCTGGAAGCAATGAAATCGCTGAACGGAGCGTCAACGTTGAGAGTTGAGGTCACGACGGTCAAACCCACCTCCGCCATTATCGCGGCAAAAGTTCCCGAGCCACCGCCGATGTCGAACCCGACCCGGATAACACTGTTACGGTTCTTCGCCATCTCCAGCACATCATCAATCAGGAAATCGGTCTTCCCTCTGGGTTTAACGTACTTCAGAGTCTCATAACCTTTGACTAAATCGAAACAGCCGCCGCAATCCCTGTTCAGCTTTTTGGAATTCAAACAGGAGAGGCTTTTGCATGAAAGGCCACTCCAAGTTAGACCCTTTTCTGGGTTTTCAGTTATGTTCTTCTTCCAAACCCAGAGAGAAGCAGGAAAAGGTTGCAAACCCAACTTAGGGGTGATCCTGGAAAGACACCTTCTCCTTGGTAAAGGCTCACATCCCTTGAGAATCAGATCCTGACCAAGACTCCAGTCGTCCGGGCAGTGCCCGTTGACTTTATAGGTCATGAACTTAGTCAGCAAATCGGCAGATTTGTGACAAGAATGAGCGACGGAGGCCACCATTTCAGTGATCCCAGTCCTTGAGTCTTTCCCTAGAGGGAGTGGGTGGGGAAGAAGGAAGGTTTTCAGTTCATCTGAGACGTTTGATCTGGAAAGATCGAGGCTTTCATAGCCCAGGAGCTCTTTCTGCATCTGTGAGAGCTTCCTCTGAGAGAAATCAATCTCTCCAAGGATCAAGGAGAGCTGTTGAGAGACTATAGAGATATCTTCATTGTTGTGATGGGTCTTTGGGAAGTAAGTGAAAGCGAAGAGAGCAAAGATGTTTGTTGTGATTACTGAGAAGAGGATAAACAGATTCAGAGCGGAGGAACAGAGTGAAGACCTTCTGAATCTCGCCGTTCCGGTTCCAGTTTTGAGAGAGACGGAGCCCATCTCCTTCACTCTCTGTTCTTTACCAGCGAAGGCAGAGTGCGTGGATGGCAAACAAAGGAGGGAAGAGCTGGAGTTGGAATAATGAAAGTTGGAGATTCAATCATTGTCGGTGGATCCCAGTGAAGGTTACCATCACTTGTTGGCTTGTTGCAAGGATGGTTCTGGGATTTACAGAAAAAGAAAAATATAAAGATCATTTTTGAAATAAAATTCTCTTTATGAAAAGATAAATAAAATACTCCTTATGCCACTTTCACAGTTTCAAGTTTCATGTAGTCAACCGATTCATCTTTTCATTTTTCATGTATTCAATTCTTTTTATCTTGTGAATCCCTCTGATTTTGAATATAGACTATCTACCTACCCTGTGAATGTAAATTTTAATTTATTATTAGGAATTAGTGGTAAAATTTTAAAAGTCCATGGACTTTTAAAAGTCTATATTGAATACACCCAGATTTTTGTAGACATTTAAAATCCATGGACTTTTAAAATTTTACCACTAATTCCTAATACAATAAATTAAAGTTTACATTCACAGGATAGATAGTCTATAGCATTAAATCGGTGCACTTCTGGTACGTTGTCAGTTAATCATTAAGAAAAAAAATTTAACTATTAATGTGTTTAATCGTTAAACTGCTAACACATAAAAATATAATTTCAAATTACTTGATATTTAACGTAAATAAGTATACAAATTTTAACAAGTTAACAATGAAAAGAAAATAATTATTAAGAAGAAAACCTCGATTGCACTTATGTTTGTACCACGTGTAGCAATGCGTGTAACACTTGTGTAATTATCAATGTTTTTTACTTTGTTACTCATCGGGTTGTATAAGGGAGTATAACAATCGATCATAAATAGATCGAGATTGTTGAGCACTCTCAAAACTTTGAGTTTCTTTTTAACAAAAATAAATTTGAGTTCTTATGCTTCATTTATTCTTGTAGAACTTTGTGTTGCTGGATGAATTACATTTGTTTCATTTATTTACTTATTTATTTGATTGTTTTTTATCATATTACACATAGGATATTACTCATGGTAGAACTAAAACATACGATGTAGCATTTTACCAAAGTATGATCATATGTTTGATTTTCTTTAAATAAGACTAAATATTACATTTCTACCCCTAATATAATTAATTAATATAATTAATTTTCCATATTTCCCTTACATAACCAAAGTCATTTTGTTGGCACCTAACTCCAGTGACGGAGGCAGACATGAAAATCAGTAGCGGCAATCTAGGTGAAATTCGGACTACCGACAGTGGTAGTCCAGATTTAAATGTCAATAGAGTTCATTCATAAAAAAAATCTATGGATTTAAAAGTCCATAGACTTTTTTTAGAAGTCCATGGATTAAAAAAAGACCACCACAATCCATTTTCAATACATCCCCCTTAATTTTCAGTCATTTATGTTTTTAAATATGAGTTTTTCAAAAAAGATCCCTTGAAATGAAACATATTTATAAAATCTATATTACAGAGTAATAATTACTAACTTGCTATTATATAATTTCATAATTATCTAAGTATAAAAATTGAACATACATTACTGTGATTAAATTACTATTGTAATCACTACACTTAAAAGGTCACATTTTTGTGAATAACATATGTTGGGATATTGGGTCCAGGCCCAATATCCCTAGGCCCAAATCCGGGAAGAAGCAGCAAGCCCAAAGAACTCCCGAACGGCATTCGGGATAAAACTTATACTTGGAACATTCTGGGAAACGATTATGCCAAGGTATCAAGGCCCAAGTATCGATCGGCGTTCGGGATACTTCAGGTAGAAATTATCACCTATGGCGGGGTCCCACACACCGAACACCTTGCCTGAACGGGCAGTCAGCAAGTGGAAGCCGCATTTAATGCTGGATCATGACAGCTGCAAGTGGGGGCATGAGTGCTTACATGGCAGAGGTGATAGCCTACCAGATTCGACCACGTGTCCACCTTACCCATCCCCATCTTAGTATAAATATCCATGTTTAGATCATTGTAAAGAGTTAGCATTTTAATACTCAGAGCTTAGCAATAGATTTACATCTCTTATCCTTGTAATCTCATATTCATCTACCGTTCGGGTAGTTTCAGTGTAATTGCTTAAATACAGAATATAAGTAAGTTCTTGAGTTGAATATTAGTTCACTATTTTATATTTTATACACATTTCAACCCTACCCAATATCCCTACAATATCCAAGGCTTGTGTTGGGCTTTCGGATCTTCGGGAATAAACCTCAACATTGGCGCCGTCTGTGGGAAACGAAACTAAAAGTCCAAGGAAAACAGCTGATCTAAGCACCATTTTTATTGAAATGGCTAGGCTTCATACCGCTACACCGAGTTCTACATCCAGAGGCCGAGGAGGCAATAGATCCTTGATAAGTCCGTATTTAGACACGCATTTGATGCGTGTTCAGGTCGGATTTTGATGATTTTCCTAGCTTTAAGGCGTTGCAAGTCTCAATTTTGGCTCAAGTTGTGTTTAACAGGCGTTGGATCGAGTTTCATAGCATTTGGAGTTGATTTGAAGAAGTTAGAGTCCGGCAATCGGCGCTTGAGAGGCATTCGGGAAGGGTTTGAAGGCATTCGAGAGAGATTTGGAAGATTTGGAGGCCACCGGGAGATTCACGACGAAATTCTGGTGAAGAAAGAGCACTTGGATCGACGTCGTAGGCATTCGGGAGCATTCGGAATGAGAAACGAAGAAAAACAATGAAGAAATGGCTAGGCACGGCCGTGCCTAGGCCAGGCACGATCGTGCCTGCCATCTGAATCAACGTGAAGCTACTGGCAGCCAGACACGATCGTGTCCGGCGCAGGCACGATCGTGTCTGCATATTTTTTTGCGCGTTTCTTCCGCAGGCACGGTCGCAGGCACGATCGTGCCTGGCACCGTGCCTGGCCGCGATTTGTCCTAATTCGACCCGAATTCACTGTTTTCTATAAATAAGGCCTCCATAACCCCGATTTGGGGTTACGAACATTACGGAGAGGCCTAGGGACGAATTTAACACCGTTTTTACGCTATTTTCTTCCAAGACCCTGGGATTATTTGTAAGTTCAATTCTTTAATTAATGACAATTTATTCTATTCATCCCAATTCTTTTGATTCGTCAATTATGAGGCGTGAGTAGTTTAATTAGGGATTTGGGGTTGATGAAGGGGTTAATCATGATTGATGGCTAGATTCTTGTCGGTTTAATTGCATGAATGTCGTTTAATTTGTGTTTGAATAATTTAATTGATATCTCTTGTAACCTAGACTGCAGCTAGAATTACAATTGCATGTAGAATAAATTAAGAGAGATCTAATTTGTTCTAGGACACATTCACACACACTTAATCGTTCGCTAAGAGATTAGTAGCGATTAAGGGGCCGTAAGCTCGCTCGTCTTGGCAATAATTTAGGATCCTGTCGCATGAGAGATCAGCCTGGTCCCCTAAATTATTGTACTCTACGCCGCGAGAGCGGTAAGAACTTAGTAATGATTAGCTAGGCTCAATTAAATTAAATTCATGTGATTAGGCCTGTTCTGCCAGAAATCTGGTTAACCCCGGAATCAATTCCTGTTCCCTTCGTCGTTAATTAAGGAAAACCAAATCTTTTTATTCGCTCATTAGCATTAGTTTTATTTCAATCAATCAACCAATCTCGCACAATTGCACTTTTTTATTTTATTTATTTCTTTTTAATCGCTAAAGTTTAGTTAATCTTTATTTCCCTTTTGTCCGTCCCTGTGGAGACGATACTCGTACTTTACACCATTTTACTACATCATTTTAAGTGCGAGAAAACCTCACATCAGTTTTTGGCGCCGTTGCCGGGGACGGTGTCGGATTTAAGGGTTAATTAATTTTAGCGACTTGCTTTTAGTTTTTCGTAGGATTTTTGTCTGCTAACCTTGCAGGTCAGATCTGTTTATGCATACACGTTCAAAGAAGGGAGAATCACTTGTCCCTCTTAATCCTGAGATCGAGAAGCTAGCTAAACAGAACCGCAAGGCTTTAAGAGAACAGAAAGCAACCATGGATCAACCATTCGCATCTGGAATAGCTGGGACGTCTGAGGTCCAAACCACTTCTGGTAATCTGGATTTTTATGTTAATACCTCTCCCCAGTCTTCACAAGAAAATTCACCAAGAGCTTATCCGGGGTATCAAAATCTCCGTACCCCATTCTTCCACCAAAATCAGTCCACTCCACAACCGAATCTTCCACCACTCTATCAGCTCTTTCAAAACACTTCTATTGCTCCCGAACCCACCTTTCAAAACCAAACCTTTGGGATGCAGGTCTAGGGCAAAATAATCCGGTTTTTCAGCCCAGACAGAACCAACCGCCAGTCACACAAAATCCACCCCCTACTCAGCCACAAAATCAGCCCTTCCAACCCCAATATCAACAATTCCATCAAACCCAACCTCAGCCAAATATCATCCATCCACAACCCATAAGACCACAACCAGTTCATCAGCCGAGATATCAAGCTCCTCCTTACCACAACTATGTCCCACATAACAACCCGCTTTATCAAGGAGAGACCATCGCAGATTTCCTCACTCCGGACATCACAGAGTACGACAGCATCCAAGTGCAAGGAATTACTGCACCTCGCTATGAGATCAACCCAGCGGTGATCAACATGGTGTCCAATAATCAGTTTGGAGGGAACCCTACAGAAGATCCAGTGGCACACATTACAAAATTTCTGAGGATGTGCCAAACGTTCAAGATCCCTGGGCTAGATGATGATCAGGTACGGATGCTATTGTTCCCTTTCTCATTGAGGGATGACGCGCAGAGGTGGTTGGATAGCAATCCACATCACCATATTCAGACATGGGATCAGTTGCACAAGTCCTTCATCAAGGAGTATTTTCCGACATCAAAGGCAATAAAGTTGAAGAGGCAGCTGCAGGATTTCAAGCAAGGTTCTTTGGAGACATTGGCCGAGGCATGGAAGAGATTCAAAGTGCTAAGAAGAGCTTGCCCTCAAGGCAAGATGACTGATAGTGAGATTCTATCTTGTTTCTACAGCGGAATCAGCGATGAAGGGAAGATGATGCTTGATGCTTCGGGTGGAGGAGCTTTTCCTCAATTACCATCT